GGCTGGAGTTGGGAGAACTCAGGTCTCAAGAGAGGAGCCTCCTAGAGAGGCTCTGATGCCCAAAGCAGACGCCTGCCTGTCCCCTCCTATCTTCCTTGTCCCATCAGTTGTCGGTCCCACGTGGATAAGGCCTGACATATTTAATACAGTTTGTTACCTCTGTGAGCTCGTTAACTTGGTATGCTTTTTAAAAAATTAAAATGCCATGTATTTGTGTCTGTGTTGGGAGTGTATGCTTGTGTAACAGGCACGCATGCAGCCAGAGAGCAACTTGAAGAAATGAGCTCCGGATGCAGCTCAAGTATCAGGCTGGCGGCGGGCACTCACCCTCTGAGCAATATCAACAGCTCAAGTATCAGGCTGGCGGCGGGCACTCACCCTCTGAGCAATATCAACAGCTCAAGTATCAGGCTGGCGGCGGGCACTCACCCTCTGAGCAATATCAACAGCCCTGTTTTTTCTCTTTTTGAGATTGTGTTTCATCATCTAGTGTTTCATCATCTAGGCTATTCTTAACCTCCTGATCCCCGGCTCCATCTCCCAAGTTCGGAAAATTACTGGTGTGCTATAACACTCCCAGCTTAGCTATGGGTACTTAAAAAAATAAATAAAACCTTGTGGCAGTGAAATGGCTCACAGGTAAGGGGCTGCTGCAAAGTCTTATCACAGAGTTCAGTGCCCTGGATCTACACAATGGAGGGAGGGAACAAATTCTTTCAAGCTGCCCTCTGACCTCCACAAGTGGTGGCTTACTCCCCTCACAAGAAATAAATATTATTTAAAAATTAATGTTGTTTTAGTTTATTTGTGACTGGTCTCATATAGCCTAGACTGGCCTCAAAGTTGCTATATAGCAGAGAATGATCTTGGGTTTCTGAGCCTTTTGCCTCTCTCTCCCAAGCGCTGGGATGAGAGACGTACACTACTGTTCTGATTTGTATAGTGTTGGGATGGGGCACAGGGCTTCACACACATAAGGCAAGCACCTCACCAACTGCACTACAACCCCAGCCCTACAGCTGTGGGTTATGTTAGGTCTCTTTTTAAGATACCTCCTGTTTTGGTTCATTCCCCTGGCCACTGGCCTCTTTGTTCCTCCTGGTTTTTATGAAAGATTTATTTCATTTTTATTCATGTGTCTCTATGTGTTTGTGCTACGTGTGTGCACATGTGTGTGGGTACCCATGGAGGCCAGCTAGAACCCTAGAACTGGAGTTACAGGCAGTCCTAAGGCACCTGATGTGTGTGCTGGGAGCTAACTCTGGTCCTCTGCGGGAGAGCACCGCTCAGCCCAACTCTCTAGTTTCACCTTGGTCTTTTGTTTGTTTCTGTGGTGTGAGGCATGGATCCTAGAGCCCTGGACTTGCTAGGCAAGCGCTCTGCCCCTGAACCATACCTCCAGTGCCGTCTCCTTCCCTTTGTGCCTCAACCTTCAAAGCAACCACCTTTACCCTCAAGCCACCACTGTTAAAGATGCCCACCTCATACCACCCCTCAGACCCCACAAAGTCAAACAGAAACTGCTATAATGCAGTCAGTGCACCAAACAGAAACAACGAACAATTCCACCACTAGCGTTGCTTATATATACCACCCTTGCCACCAGCCAGGATCAACTAACCGCCACCCACGATAACAAGCAGACGCAAGCGGAGATGCGTGCCCACAGTCCCAGCACCCACGATAACAGACAAACGCAAGCGGGGATGCGTGCCCGCAGGCCCAGCATTTTAGAGGATCGTGAGTTTGAGGCTAGGCTGATAATAAATAAATAAAAAGTGTCCAGTGACAGCAACAAACAGTAACCATCATAAAAACTCCAGGGGCCAGAAAGATAGCTGAGAGGGTAAAGGTGCTTGCTGCCAAATCTGGTCACCAGAGTTCAGTGTCCAGTACCCAACGGTGGAAGGGGAGAATCCACGCCTGCAAGTTGTTCTTTGACCTTTACAAAACAAATCAACGTGAGAACAAACTCACACCGAGGGGCTGGGGAACTGGCTCGGTAAGAGTGCTTGCTATACAAGCATGGGGGCCTGAGTTTGAATTCGCAGAGTCCATGGTCACAAGCTCACCTAGAACCCCCGTGCTATGGAGGTAGAGACAAAGGCATCTGTTGGCTTTACTATCTGCCAGCCTAACTCCAGATTCAATGAGCGATCCGATTCAAGCAGGACATCTGATGTTCACACCTTCCACACACACTGTACTCACACTGACACAGAGACATTGACAACCACACACAACCATATCCCATGCAAAATCTAAGAGTGAGTTGCTAGACCACCATTACTAGAAGCTAGCAGTAGACAACCAATGGCAAATGAGTATTAACCATTCACGCTCCCGATAACCAGCAGAGGCAGTGTCCTGCTGGCGACCAACATTAAACACTAGCGATTCCAGCATAGTGGCACGTGTCTGTAACTCCAGCACTCAGGAGGCGGAGGGCAGGAGGATCAGGAGTTTAAGGCCATCTTGACTATATAGTGAGTTCAAGGATGACTTACAGCATATGAGACTCTGTCTCGAAACAGCAATGGACGGGGTGTAGCTCAGCTGGTGGAGGGCTTGCCTAACGTGCTTAAAGTCCTGGGCTCCATCTCCAGGACTGTGCACAGCAGGGCACGGTGAATCATGCTTGTCATCGCAGCTCTTGGGAGGATCCGATTCCCAAGTCATCCTTGTCTATATCGTACCTTTGAGATCAGCCTGGGGACACACGAGGCCCTGACTTAAAGCACCAAACCCTGGCACAGGCTGAGAGGATGGCTCAGTGCTTAAAAGCATCTGATATCTTTTCAGACGGCGAAAGCTGAGTTCCCAGTACCCACACGGTGCTCACAACCAACAGTAAATCCATCTCAAGGGAATCTGATGCCCTCTTCAGGCCTCCCCAGGCACTTTGTGCACATGGCATCCAAGCACACTGATGTGTACACAAGAATAAAACAGAAACATGTCTTAAGAAGTAACAAAACTAAACACCCTGCGGTCATAGATGACCACCGCCTCCAACCCACCATGAGAACCATTGTGAGCACCAATCTTCACACACCAACAGCAGCCCTCACCATTATAACCACAGCAGCACCCACTCAGTGGCTTGTCCAGTTGCCAAGAAGGAACGACCTGCACCCATCTCTCCCGCTGAAGCCTCCCAGGCACCAGCAGCTCCTGGGCATTTAGCATGCATGCTCCATAACAGACTCTCTTTGAACAGCATCCCGGCATTGCAACCCTCTGGGACGCTCTCAGTATTCCCAGACACAACTGTGGTCCTCATAGAGAGTGCCAGTCTCTTTCTTTCTCTCTGTCTTTGGTTTCCTTTCCTCTCGCCTGCCTGCCTGCCAGTCTCTTAGGACCCAGGCAGGACTCAATTCACTCTGTAGCAGATGATGACCTTGTACTGATTCTTTCTTCCCTCTGCAGGCATTTCCAGAGTTCTGGGCTGACAAACTTGGTTTAATGCAGTGCTGGGGATAGAACGCTGCTTCCTGCATACTAGGAAACTTATCAGCTCAACTCCAGCTTTGGATCTATTTTGGCTTCATTGAGAGAAGGTTATCTAGGTTGGCCTCCAATTCACGATTTTCTGCTTCAGCCTGCAGTGCTATGCCACCTGGCTCCAGGTCTCATCACTGTTCATTTTGACTCATTTCTCCCCTCAGATCTGTCTGCTGAGAAGTCCGTTGACTAAGCATTTCACAGTGCTGGCAGCTAGGAGGGGTTTCCCTTCCTTTCAAGCAGCAAATCTCTTCCTGTTTTTTTCTTTTTTTCTTAAAAGACAGAGTCTCATGTAACCCAGGCTGGCCTTAAACCTGCTATATAGTCAAGGATGACTTTAAACTCTGCCTCCATCTGCCAAGTGTGGGGACAACACGTCCAGTCTATGTGATGCTCCGGATGGAATCCAGGGCTGCACAGACAGACGGAGCACAGCCTCAGCCCTCCTGGCCTTGCTCTTTTACCCCAGCTCCCTGCTTCCACTCCAGCTATGTTTGCTGGATCCGCCAAGGACCCCAGCAGCTACCCCTGTCCTGGAAGTGTATCCTTATTCCCTCTGACAGAATGACAATGAACGAAGGCTGAAGTGGACTGTGGATTTGTGGAGCCACGGGGGTGATTTGTGTGACCATCGCTGGCTTTTATTGTGCATGGGGGATATTGGTCATCCCCCAGCCTCGTCATCGCCAGCAGGCCTTGACTTGTGGTCTGTCTCTGGCTGCAGTATCTCCACTGCCCCCCCCTCGTCCCTGCGCCCTCCATTTGTCGTCTAGTCCTGTCTCCTCCTCCTCCCCATCTCCTCTGCTTTCCCGTTTTTCTCCTTTTCTTCTTCATCTAGTTTCTCCTCCTCCTTTGTCATCTCCTGCCCTTCTCCACATCTCCAACTCCTCCTCTTTAGGGATACTGACTGAAAGGTAGAGACGGTGATGATGGCTGATTGTCAGTGCTAGAGGTGACACTCAGGACCTCCATCTGCCTCTGAGACTGTTACAACCACCACCTGTCATCACTTGCACTGCCCTCATGAGAGACACAGTCAGCCCCACCACTGGTGGACTCCTAGTGGTCAAACCCACAGACCCCACGAGTGTTTCCAGGGAGAGCTCCCCCAAACACTCCCATCTCTAGACCAACTTCCAAACATGAACTCCGGAAACAGGCCAAGACAGGAGGAAGTGCTTGTTTCAAACCACAGGGAAATCTAGGATATGAGAGGACTCTCTAAGCCCCTGGAAAGGGACATGTCCCTCCCTGGCAAACTATGTATCCCTTAGGGATACCGTCTCCCTTCCTATTCTGCAGACTTGGTCCCCATAGCCAATCTGGCACCCTTAGAACTTGATTACTGGTGGAGGACCATGGGATACCCTGTGCTGCCCCATGGGAGTCCCTCCCCTAAGGCCCTGCAATTCTCATAACCATTGCCCCAATTTCTGAGGGTGCTCAGGGCACTGCTACCAGGCTGTTACTCCCAGAGCCAATGCTGAAGAACTTACCATGGTGAGGGTTGGTGTCTGGGCTCCTGTGGGTAGTGACAGGGGCACAGGCTCAGGGGGTTCCTGAGAGTGGCTCTGGCATGGCCCTGCTTCTTCATCTACTCCTTCTGCAGACTCCTGGCCCCAGTTCCTCTTGCAACAGCCCCTCTCTCACTTCCTTTGACGGGAGGGGCCATGGCCACAGGCGAGGGAAGCTGAGGGCGGGGACAATGCTCTGAGCCTTAGTAGCGACGACCCTGCTGAAGTTGGAGTCTGGAGCCTGGAGGGATAGGTTAGAGATGTCTGGCAGTGGCTGCCAGACAAGAGAAAGTCTCTTCTCCATCTACCTCCCCAAGAAAAGAGGCTACAGCAAAAGGCACCCAGGTCAGTTGACTGCAGGACTGGCCACCTAGTTGAGGTCTTTCTCTTCCGAGTCAGGAAAGGGAAGTGCTGTTTCCGATGTGTCTGCTCTGCGTGTTCTCGTGTAAAACCCCTTAAGACCCTCCCTGCAGAATGTTCCTCCAAAGCCAGTGTGTTAGTAAAGACAAAGAGAGTGGAGGCCACCGTAGCCTTATGCCCATGTAGGATTTTGTATGTCAGATCTGGACTTCTTCTTCTTTTTTTATTCCATTTTTGTGTTTGTGTGTTTGAGTATGGGTGCGTGTGTGTGTGTGTGTGTGTGTGTGTGTGTGTGTGTGAAGGCCAGATGACAGCTATCAGCCCCCACCTCGAGACAGGTGTCTTTCTGTCTTCCCACTGTGGAAGCCAGGCTTGCTGGCCTACCGGCTTCGGGGATTCTCCTGTCTCTACCTCCCATCTCGATGTGGAGCACTGGGGTTGCAGGTATTTACCACCATTATCTGGCTTTATGGGGATGTCTGTCTGGGGATTCAAACTCAAGTCCTGATGCTTGTGTGAAAGGGTCATCTTCCTATCGCCAGATCTGGCCTTAAAAAAAATTTACTTTAAGTAATTGTACTCATAAGTGTGTGTGTCGGAGACCAGCTTCAACAAAAATACCACTTACCAGAGTAGGGACACGGGGATAAGAAAATTAGTAAAGATGACGAAGATGCAGATGAAAACAATAAAATAGAAAACATAGGATAGTATCGGAGGGAGTTCCAGTGAATACTGAAATTGCCTGCGTTTAATTTTCCTTACACTTTTATACTCCAATACCACAGGGGGAAAGACAAAAGACTGCTTTAACACACGACAAGAACAACTAGAACAGTTACGGGCTTCAATACTTGCTGTCTCAAGTCATAAGCATTCTGTTGTTTAGGCAATGAACCTGCCCTAGACCAAGAGCTCTGAAGGCAGCTACTCCCAAGGTCAAACCTTCTATTTCAAAAGAAGGAGCAGAAGTATGCTTGAATATTCTGACCGTTGGTCAGGGTGGGGTGGATCCAACTGTACAGGCCATCTTAAATATCAAAAGAACCAAGTAACCACACCCTAGTTCAGGATGTGTAGCCCTGGTTGTTGTCAACAATTTTGAGCAACCTCAAACTATCAGTTCAGACAAAGTGGAACTAGGCTCACATTTTTGGGCCTCTGTGTGTCTGTGTCCATGTGCAAGTCAGAGGCACTGGATCTCCTGGACCTGGAGTTACAGGAAGTTGTGAACCATCTGATGTGGATGCTGGGAATTGAACAGAAGTCCTCTGGAACAGCAGGAAGTGCTCATAGCAGCTAGCCGAGCCATCTATCTGTCACCTCCACCCCTGTTGGCCCCAAATCTGTATTTTGTTGTGGGTTTTGTTTGTGTTTTTGTGAGACAGTCTCATATGTAATTCTGACTGTTCTGGAATATGCAAAGTAGCTGGCCTCACACTCACAGAAATCATCCTGCCTCTTTCTCTGGAGTGCTGGGACCAAAGCTACGTACCATTGCTCCTGGCCCAATCTGGGTTTTCACACCTGTGACTTTGCTGGTTTTATGACTTGGCTCTATCAGCAGCACCTAGAGCATGTAGGGCCCACCACACAGCCCAACCCTTGATCTTTGGAAGACCAGATCTCACAAGAGTCCTGTTGACATTTGAGGAAATGATGGTCACCTAGGCAGACAGTGGTGGCGCACGCCTTTAGTCCCAGCACTAGGGAGGCAGAGGCCAGCCTGGTCTACACAGGGAGTTTCAGGACAGTCAGGGCTACACAGAAAAACCCTGTCTCAAAACAAAGAGGTTGCCACCCTCTCATACCACCCACTGAGGGTGTGGCTGAGACTGAACCAGACTGTGTTCAGTCTTTGGTTCATGTCTGAGGACTGGGATGTCTCTGCATCCTGTGCCCCCCCCTGGCCATAGCTGAAAAGTCTTGTCTCCGATATCCAGGGACAGTAGCTACAACTCAGTATGTAGAAAGGCGCAGAATGATCACATTTGGTCGGGAGTACAAGGAGACTGGATCTTTGAAAGCTTCCGTAAACTGCACTTTTGTCTTAAAATAAATTTGCTTGTTCTTCGAGAAAGGGTTTCTCTGTGTAGCCCTGGCTGTCTTGGAACTTGTCTTGTAGACCAGGCTGGCCCTGAACTTAGAGAGCCACCTGCCTCTGCCTCCTGAATGCTGGGATTAAAAATGGGTGTGCCACCATCTGGCTATTGATAGGTTTTTATTTGTAGTGGCCAGAGTTCTCTCTCTCTGCTAGGGATGACTGATTAGGAAGTGTGGGCATGTGCCCCACTTTTAAGAGCTTTTGTTTACTCATTCGTGTGTGTGAGCATTCATGCCACAGCAAGCTTGTGGAAGGCAGAGTACATTTTATAGAAATTGGTTCTCTCCTTCCACCACGTGGATCCCAGGGATTAAATTATAGTTGTTACCTTGGCAGGAGGTGCCTTTACACACTGAGACATGTTGCCAAGCCTAGCTGTGTGTTCCCTTTTGATCCTAGGGTCGGGGCTGGATGGTATGCCTACACAGAGACACAGACCCACTCACGAGCATCTACATAAGACAGAACTTTATTGATGTAAGGCTTCTTGGTGAGGAGTGTGTGGACCCCAAGGCAGGGCTTGTAGCACCATGATGGGGGTAGCCTGGATGTTGGGCTCCCCCTGGGGCAGGCAGGGCAGAGGTTGGGGTAGATCTTGCCCCTGGTTAGTCTGGGGGAGGGTCACAGGGAGGTGGTATTAATCCCACTCCCCCAGAGCAGATATAAATCCCCCCAGCTCAGAGTGGAGGGATACAACAGTGCTGGGGGCAGGGCACCAACACACCCCTCCCCACCCCCACTCTTCACAGTACATATTCCGATCAAAGGTGGGGGGAGTGCTGGGGACTTAAAGCTGTGTGCGGCATGGACAAGAAGAGGGTCCCTGGGGTAGCCAGCTCTTCTCCATCCCCTAGCCAGGATTCCTATAGGGGTTACCCAATAAATAACTTTCAACTACATCTCACCCTTCAATCCCAGCCTCCCTCCCTCCCGCAGGCCCTCTCCAGTGAAGTTCCCTTGTCTGTGCTCCAGGGTGGCTCTGGGTGCTGCACACCCCCTAGCGGCCTTGGCAGGTTTTGCAGCACATCTGGCGGAAGTAGGCTCGGCTACAGAACTGAAATTTGAGCACCAGGGGGCAGTAGGCCACCTTGTTCACGTCCTTGCATTCTGCAGCGGTGGAGGGGAAGGGCAGGAGGGAAGGGAGAGAGATCAGTCCGCGATTTCCCCGGCGGTGGTGAGCTCTAGGCGGCTTCCTCCCCAGTTTCCTCCCCAGTCACAGAGGGGTCATCATGCTTGTATCACCAGTCTGATTTTGAGAATCTATGTATTTCCTATGTATTTATTGTTATCCTGTGTATGGTGTGTCTGAACAGGCATGCATGTCACAGCACACACATGAAGGTCAGGGGACGACTCTGGATTTGGTCCTCTCCTTCCACTGTTATGTGGGTTCTGGGGGGATTGCACCACCTTTACTCCACTGAGTCATTGCGCTGGCCCCTTTGTCTCCTGCTTATAGTTTTGAGGACTTTCTTTTGTGGTTGTTGTTTGTTTGTTTGTTTTTGAGACAGGGTTTCTCTGTGAATCTTTGGAGCCTGTCCTGGAACTAGCTCATGGAGACCAGGTTGGCCTCGAACTCACAGAGATCTGCCCGCCTCTGCCTCCTGAGTGCTGGGATTAAAGGTGTGCACCACCACTGCCTGGCTGTTTTGAGGATTTTCAATACAGCATCTGGAGCTGCCCAAGACATACCCTCAGTGAGAAAAACATTTCTTATTCTAGGATTCCCCTTTTTTCCTCTGCTGGAAATTGAAAGTAGGGCTTTAAGTATGTTAGGCAGGCACTTGGAGTTATATTTCCTAGCCCTCCTTTGACGTTTTATTTTGACAGTGTTTGCATAAATTGCTCAGATGGGGCTTGCTCTGTAGTATAGGAAGATCTTGAACATGCAGTCCTCCTGCCCTGGCCACCCTGATAACTTAAGATGACAGACCTGTTGTGCTTTTGATGCCAAGAGAATTTGTTTCCTTTGGCTTTTCAATAAACCTTCGAGTTCAGCTCAAAGAATTTGTAATTTAAAGGCTGGGTAACAGCTTAGTGAGAGAGCACTCACTGAGCACCGTGAAGACGGTGATGTTTAACAGCCTCTGTGGGGGCCATGGACAAATTCCCACGTAGCCTCCACGCAGCACTTCTTTCCAAATGAATGGATCGTTTGCAGTCTTCACAGACGGGGAAGACACAGTGTTGGAAGGTGAACCATTGTTGTCATCTAAATTTCTCTAATTCCCTCTATCAAAAATAAATTTGCACACAAAAAATTTTATAGCTGGGTGCAATGGCTCACATGCCTGTAGTCCTAGGTATGAGGGAGGCTTGCTTGAGCATGGAGTTGAGGTAACAAGGCCTGACCAGTTGTGTGTGGTGGTGCATGCTTGTCGTCTCTGCAGGTGGGACCAGAAGTTCCAGGTCATCCTTGGCTATTGTGGTGGGAGGTCCTTCTGTCTCTGTGCTGCTTCTCTTGGCTAATGAATAAAGAACCTGCTTTGGCCTGTTGATAGGGCAGAACTTAGGTAGGCGGGGAGGATGGTTCGAACTAATTGTTGGGAGGAAGAAGGCAGAGTCAGAGAGATGCCATGGAGCCGCCAGAGTCAGACATGCCA